GTGGTGCTGGGGGATTGAACCGCGGTCCCTGTGCTTTGCCAAGCTTGTTCTAAGTAGGTGCTTTAGACCACTGAGCCATCTCACCAGCCCCTCAGAGTCCTTTCTTATACTTTGAGTCAGGGCCTCACGAAGTTGCCAGGCTGGGTTCAAACCTTCCTTGCTCTATTCTGGTAGAGTTCACCTGCTTGTCACTCCACATTGCCAGCATCAACATCGCAAGCACTTGAAAGTACCTGCTGAATGAATAAAATCCCAGCCTGTCACCACCTTCTCCTGGGACCATTTTGGACTGAGGCAGGTGGGACCTCTGTTCCTCCCTGTTAACAATCTCACCTCTACAGGCAGGCACTGTTCGTTTGCTGCAATTTTTATTATTCACCTTTTTACATTTGGAAACCAATGTGGTATAATTAGGAACCTTACAGCCCAGAAATGAGCTAAAAAGTTCTATCAGAGTTTACGTGCTGGGTGTGGTGGCACACACCTGTAATCTCAGCACCCAGGAGGCTGAGGCAAGAGGATCACTGTGAGTTCTAGGCTAGCCTGGGCTTCATAGTGAGTTCAAGGCCTGCCTGAATTCCATAATGAAACCCTACCTCAAACAAACAAACAAACAAACAAAAAACCACCCACAACCATTATGTATAAGAAGCAACTGGAGGGCTGGCCAAATAGCTCAGCGAATTGAAGCACCTGTTTAGGCAGACCCAGCGGCCGTGGGTTCAATCCCTGGCATGCAGTGCCAGCCCGCCCCCAGGACGCGCTGAGACATTTGGCATGCTCTGATCATGGAGAGTGGTGGGCTTATGAAAGGTGTGTTTGTTGAATGCAGTAGTGAAATTACATACAAAATTTATCTATGAAAGTACAGCCGAAGGGAAAGAACATTTCTGTGGAAAAGACAGGTGGAAACAGTGTGTGTGACAGGACACACCTGTAATCTCAGCACTCAGACGGCTGAGGCAGGAGGATCTCAAGTTTGAGCCCAGTCTGGGCAACTTGGCGAGACTCTATGTCAAAATAAAATATAAAAAAGGCTGAGAATCGCCGGGTGTGGAGGCACACGCCTGTAATCCCAGCACTTGGGAGGGAGGCTGAGGGCTAAGGCAGGATTGTTGTGAGTCCCAGGTCTGCTACAATGTGCTCAAGGCCAGCCTGAACTGCGTAGCAAGACCCTATCTCAAAAAAAAAAAAAAGGGGGGGGGGGTCGCTGGGGTGATAGCTCAGTTGAGTAAGCGCTTGTCTGGCAAGCACAGGGGCACCGCAAAAATAACAATAATAATAATAAAATAAATCAAAAGGAAGAAAAAAGAAGGGGGCTGAGGATGGTAGCTCAACGTGAAAGAAGGGAAAAAAAAAGTTCTTTGCAGCCACTGGTCCTCCTCGGACATCACTCCACGTCGCGTCCATAGCTCTAGGGGCCAAACACTGCAAGCCCTCAGTAAAATACCTGTAGAATGAAGGAATAAAAAGTACTTACGGGGTCACTCCCAGCCCCCCACGCGACCTCGACTCCGCCCAGGGCAGGGGGCGACACGCTCCTCGCCGGCCCTGTCTCCCCGAGAGTCCGGGTCCCTCCGTGCCCTTCTGAGGGGGGACGGAGTCTACAGCGCTCGTGCCCACCTCGCCGCCAGCCCCGCAGCCCGCGCCGCGCGAGGGGAGGGGACGCCCCGGGCCGCACCGCCTCCTTCCGGGCCCTCCTCCCGCGGGCGTCCGGGCGTCCTGGGCGGGGCTCCGCGAGGGGACAAGCGGTGGTGGCCGGTCCCGGCGAGCGGAGCAGGGAGCGCGGGCGGCGGGGCCATGGCGGGCTGCTGCGGCGCGCTGCGGGGCTTCCTGTTCGAGTACGACACGCCGCGCATCGTGCTCATCCGCAGCCGTAAAGTGGGGCTCATGAACCGCGCCGTGCAGCTGCTCATCCTGGCCTACGTCATCGGGTGAGCGCCGCGGGGGTCGCCGGGGCCGCACGGGGAGGGGGCGTGGCCGGCGCCGCGCACCTGCGCACTGGGCACCTGCGCCCCGGGCAGCAGCCCACGCCGCGAAAGGCAACTGCGGGCTCGGCGCCCCGGGAGGCTGCTGGGCGGCTGGACTGCGCCGTCTTCGCGCCTTCCTCCCTACTTTACCTCCCCTCCCTGCTACCCTGATGCTCTTTGAGTCGGTAGAGGCGTGCGGTTTGCCCTAAACGCTTCATTCTTCCCTCCACACTTCTAAAACCAAAGCTTGTGATTTCTACTTGGGTCCTTCTGAGTCTGTGGCTTCCGTCTTTTCCTTTGGGTAGCAGGCGGTGACCCACGATTGTGAGAGTTTGGGGGTGCGAGCGTGGGACCCAGCCTGCCTCTTGCTTATGGATGTGGCCTTCGGCCTCCTTAGATGTTTGAGTGCACCGTTACAGTGCCGTACAGCCCAGGAGAGAGAGTGGACGTTACCTCGCTGGTGGGGCTCACTTGTAAGGGTCGCCTTTAAGATCATGGCGTCCACAGCTGCTGGCCCGACAGATGGGTCTGCGTTCTCCTTTTCCTCAAAGGCCTAGCGCGGTGGTCCCTCGACCGCACCTGAGAACTATTCAGGAATCCTTAGAAAACAGTGACTCACTCCGGACTCCCATCCCCAGATCTTCTGATTCGGTTGCTACAGAGTATGAGCAGCTGCTCGGTGGTTCTGATGTTGAGCAGAGTTGGGGTCCGGTGGCCCAGTGTCCTGCCACCTTGCCTGGGCATGACTATGGGCGGCATTAGAAATACCCCATCTCTCCTGGGGCGGGGCTGCTGCGGTGTGTCGGCATTGCCCAAAGGAATTCCCTTGCTGTGGCATCTGTTAGCCCGCGGGCCACAGGTGCGGACAGTAAAGGCTTCCCCGGTGGGGCTCGGGGTAGCGTTAGCAGGCATGAGGGCCTGGGTTCAATCCCCAGCACTATCAAAACAAAACAACACAATCCAGTTGTGGGCCCAACATCAGAACCAGGTGGCAGGTACCCAGGGCTGGACTCAGGGAGCGCCGGGGTGAGGTGGTTGCGGGGCTGCTTAGCTCCCGGGCATGGTGCTGTGCTGTTCTACAGCGAGACCAGCTAGTGGAGCCCAAGCCTCGGGGCCTGCGGCTTCTCCCGCTGGGCTGTGCTGGACACTGGTCACACGTGGCTGTGGAACATTCTGTGGATGATTCTGTGGCAGAGATGCACTCTATCTGTAAAATATACAGATTCTGAAGACATAATACAGAAAGAGAATACAATCTCGCATCAGTGCTTTTTTACTTTTTTTTTTTTTTTTTTTTTTGCAGAACTGGGGATTGAACTCAGGCCCTTGTGCTTGCCAGGGAAGCACTTATCCCACTGAGCCATCTCCCGGGCCCAGTGTTTTTTAACAGATGATGTTATGATATTGTGGATAGATTGGGTTACATAAAACATATAAAAATCAATTTTCCTGTCATTTTTAACATGGCTACTAGAAACAGGTAAATTACACACGTGGCTGCCACTATGATATCCTGTACCACAAAATCCCATTCCTTATGTTTCTATTGGGCTCAAGGGTTCCTATTGGCTCTTCATGGGCTTTAAGGCTCCTGATCATGAGGATTTTTAAAGTAGTAGCGCTTTGCTTGTATCCATCTTCTATGACCAAAACCCGCTCTGTCAGGCTGGGCATAGTTACCCCAACCCTTGGAGGCTGGGCAGGAGGATCGCTGCAAGTTCAAGGCCAGCTCAGGTTACAAGGTCCGCCTAGACTCTGTCTTGAAAAAACAAAACCCAACTTGCCGAATAATTTCCTGATTCAGTTAACCCCGGGTGGAATTGTGGTCCCCTCACCCATACAACAACCCTTCCTGAAGAGACTAAAGTCCTGATTCCCATCTCAGCCTGCCAGTCACATGGTGAGGAAATCGTCACATGATAGTGGAGGCTGTGACACTGTCAGTGTTTGCTTTAGCAACTGACTGTACTCGGTGGCAGAATACTAGGGGCCTTCCTGTCCTGGAATGCCTCGGTGGCAGACCGGAATGAGGTGGCGGTTTTGCTGTGGCCGGATTTCCAGGAGCCCTTTGGGAGAGGACCTGGGGAGGGTGGAGACAGACTGTGAAGGTGGGGCTACCTAGGTCAGCAAGCAGAGTTTCTGAAGTCTGAGCTCGTAGGAATAAAAAGGAGGGGACTTCCCGGGGAACTACCCGCTCGGGCCCCCTTCCTGTCCGTCTCTTGGACAGGAGCTTTCTTTCTCTCAATAAATATATTCTGCTCACAAAAAAAAAAAGGAGGGGAGATGGAATATTTCTTGCCTCAATAAATAATAGTTTTGTTACTGTTTTGGAGACAGGCTGGCCTTGCATGTGAAGTGACCCTCCTGCCTCAGCCTTCTGAGCACTAGCATTATAGGTGTGCGCCACTGTGCCCAGCTCTGGTGGATGTCTAAGGACAGCTCTGCTAGGGAGCCATTTTGATTTTTTACTGGCTGGTTTTATCCTAGCAAGCATAAGCTGAAATATTGTTCTGAGCACTTAATACTCATCAGCTTATTTATTTATTTATTTTTATGTATTTAGTACAGGGTCTCCAGGGTCTCACTACATGGATCAGACTTGTAGTGATCCTCCTGTTTTCAGTATCCCAAGAGCTGGGATTACAGGTGCAGGCCATCACGCCCAGTCTCAATCTCATCTCAGTGCACTTCCAATCCCTGGCTGCTGCGCTCTGCCTAAGCAGGCGTGTTAGTCAGCTGAGCTAGCTGGCCAGCCTTCATCAACTCATTTAATCTGGGGACAGTCCCTATTGTGCTCCTGTCTTTCCCATGTTTTCTTTTAGGTTGTTATGATTATTTCTGTTTGGCTTTGTTTCTTGACATGGGACCTCCTTATGCAGTGCAGGCTGGCCTTGAACTCACTATGTAGCCCAGGCTGGCCTTATACTTTGATCCTCATGCCTCAGCCTACTGCGTGCTGGGATGACAAGCATGTGCCACCACACCGGGTGAGATTTTTATTTTATTTTTAATGTATTTGGTAGAGGGTCTTACTATGCAGCTTGGACTGGTAGTGATCCTCCTGTTTTCAGCCTCCCCAGCGTTGGCGTCACAGGCATGTACCACCCCGCCTGGTCTCGGTGGCCCAGCGCTCCCAGGGGCAGGGCTGGAGCCGCACGTGGTGCCAGGATCCAACCCTGGTCCCTGTGCTTGCTTAAGCAGGTGCTTAAACCGCTGAGCTATCTCTCTCTCTCTCTTTTTTTTTTTTTTTAATTTTCTCGAGAAACAAATATGAATGAGAGTTTCAAAGCTGATTAATAGGACAGTTTCGATAATCAGTACATTGTACACTGTTATCTTCTTGGACCGCTGAGCTAGCTCACCAGCCCTCCAGTGAGATTTTTACTTAGACTGTTATCAGATGGGGTTCCAGGAGGTCCCCCCAAAGAGGAGGTGGGCACCACACCTCACCCTAGGGGGTAGATTCATCAGGTCTAATCACAGAAAAGCATTTCAGGGTGTGTGGTGAGAGGTGCAGGCAGATTAGGCAGAGCTAGAAAGGGGGGGGGGGAGCACAGCCTGGAGCGGATCAGACTGGCCCATCCACAAAAGGAAGAGACCGTCCCTGCCTTCCTGCAGGGCGCGCTGTTAGTGGACGCGCTCTCGCCCCCTCTGGTGATCTGTGAGCCTCCTAGGCCCAGCCGCTGAGGAGCTGTGTGCCCGCAGGTGGGTGTTCGTGTGGGAGAAGGGCTACCAGGAGAAGGACTCCGTGGTCAGCTCCGTTACCACCAAGGCCAAGGGCGTGGCCGCGACCAACACTTCTCAGCTCGGATTCCGGATCTGGGACGTGGCCGATTACGTGGTCCCTGCTCAGGTGTGTCTTCCCGTGATTTCGCCCCGCTCTCCGCCTCTTTCCCAACTTTGCCCCACGATTCCTGACTGGTGGCCACAGAGCCAACTTCCTCCACGCTGGGCTTCGCGTTGGAGCAGAGCGGCCGGAACTCTTGGCTTCTGGTCGTGCCCGTCACGCTCAGTGACTGTGGCCGGGCAGGTGTCCTTCCCGTGAGGATATCTCCATCCGCCCCAGGCCTCAGAGGTCGGGAAGCCACAGGTCGCAAGTTCTGGACAAAGGCCAGGTGGACGTGGTTCCTTTCCACCTTTCCTGTTTGCTTTATCATCTTCCACCCACAAGGTAAACCTGGGCAGGCGGTGTATAAACTTCACGGCCATCAGAGTCCCAGACCAGGCCAGATGGAGACAGCACCTGATTCCTCAGGGGCAGAAGCAGAGGAAGAACCTGTTTGATGCAGGGCCTGAGTCAGAGTCACCAGCAGGTGGCGCCACCAAGCTGCAAGTTAACTTTTTTTTTGGTCTTTTTGAGACAGGATCTCTCACTTACTAAGCAGTTCAGGTTGGTCGTGAGGTCACTTTGTAGCCCAGGCTGGTCTCGAACTCAGTGATTTTTCTGCCTCAGGCTCCAGACTGCTGGGATTACAGGTGTGTGCAGCACCACACGCAGCTCCTTTGCGTCATTTTTGTTTGGGGTTTTGGGCTTAGGTGATCAGATCCAGGCCTCAGGCATTCAAAGCAAGTACTCTGCACTGAGCTATACCGACAAAAGCTACAGGTTAAACATTGACCTTTATTTTATTTATTTATTTATTTATGAGATAAGAGTCTCACTGTGCAGTTCAGGCTGGCCTTGAAGTCGGGATCCTCCGGCCTCTGTCCCCCAAGTGCAAGGAGTACAGGCTTGTGCCACCAACCTTGCATAACTTTGATTCCCTAACTGCCCCACGTGTCCACGTCCCCACGTCCTCAAATGCCCCTGCACAGACAGTGCCTTCCAGACAGCCGGATTCAGGAAGGTGCCAACTCCTCGCTGGGAGCTGTGAGGAGTAGGTGGTCTTGCCCTTCTCCCTTTAGGGAATGTGTGACAGGGCGGGGCAGAGCAGGGACTCACAGGTGCCTCGTCCCCTGGAGCTCAGGGATTGACTCCAAGTCAAAATAAGAAGTGCGGGGCTACAGCTAGTGCGACAGCGCGCTCGCACCCACCCTAATGCGATTGTAATACATTAGAGCACGCAGCACCTACACCCCGCTGGGGCGGTGGAGCCCACCGGGAGCAGTGCGGGTCCTTGTTTTTCCTCCTGATGTTAGCGGGCCCCATGTAGGCATGCGTTAGTCTCGAGCCCAGCACGGTACCTTCCAGAACCTGCACATCTCCCGCGTAAAGGACCCAGCAGGACACTGTCCCCTGTCCCCTTGCAGGAGGAAAACTCGCTCTTCGTCATGACCAACATGATCATCACCGTGAACCAGACCCAGGGCACCTGTCCAGAGGTAGGTGGTTCCCCAGGCCTTGTCCCCAGCCCTCCACCCTGGGGGGACCCGGAGGAAATCGACCCCAGCCCTCCTCCTTCCAGATTCCTGATCAGACCACCAGGTGCGAATCAGACGCCAACTGCATGGTGGGCTCCGGGAGCACCCACAGCAACGGTAGGAGCGTGCGTCAGAGGGCGCCCCCTGGCGGTCGCCGCTATGCAGGCTGCCTCAGGGACTTGGAGCCCGGCTGCAGGGCGTTAATGGTAGAGGGCGTGCTTAGCACGCTTAAGGCCTTGGGCTCAGCCCCAGCATGAGGGAGAAAGCTCTCCACCGCCCCCAGGGAAGTTCTGCCACCCTGGTGAGCTGGTATCCACAGATAGAGCCCAGAAGCTTGACGTGGTGATGCAAGCCCATAATTCCAGCACTCTGGGAGGCTGAGGCAGGAGCATGGCAAGTTTGAGCCCAGCCTGGGCAACTCAGTGGCTTGGCAAGTTTGTTTTTTTTTGTCCCAAGAGAAAATAAATCCTGGCGATGTAGCTCAGTGTGAAGGCCCTGGATCTGATCACCAGGACTGGAACAGTAACCTTCTCTGCCTGTCACCCCTGTTGGGTGAGCCCCCAAGCTTGCTCTGCTCTGTGACTTGCTGTCCGGGGGGGCCTTGCCGCATTGGCAAAGCAGAGATGTGGCTGCCACTCAGGGGGCCCGTCGCTGGCCCCAATTTCCGGGTGCCATCTAAGTCCCAGAACTGGAGTCGTTCAAGATAGGCCACTAGGTAGGAGGGGCCTCACCCAAAGGGCAGAAGTGCAGACTCCGTGGACCTGGGACCCCTTCTCCTACAGGGGTCTGGACTGGAAGGTGCGTGCCATTCAATGGGTCTGTGCGGACCTGCGAGGTGGCGTCCTGGTGCCCGGTGGAGGATGACTCTCAGGTGCCCAGGTGAGCGTGCCGGGCCTGGCAGTGAGCAGACATCTGCCTGTACTTTTTCTAACAACTGGTTTACCATTTTTTTCAGACCTGCTTTTTTAAAGGCTGCAGAAAACTTCACACTTTTGGTTAAGAATAATATCTGGTATCCTAAATTCAACTTCAGCAAGTAAGTGGCCGCTGGCGTGAGATCGCGAGTGCCCTGGGGACGCTCCTGGCTCCCAGGGGCTGTGGCTGACGTCCCTCCCTCCCGGCTTCCAGGAGGAACATCCTGCCCAACATCTCCACCACCTACCTCAAGTCCTGCGTGTATAACGCTCACACTGACCCCTTCTGTCCCATCTTCCGTCTGGGCCAGGTGGTGGAGAGCGCAGGCCACAGCTTCCAGGACATGGCTGTGGAGGTAGGTACAGGCCCCGCTGTTGTCATGTGTCCCAGGCCCAGCGGGTTGCAACTCAAGCCTGACCACGTCCCCTGCCTGTGCACAGGGCGGCATCATGGGCATCCAGGTGAACTGGGACTGCAATCTGGACCGGGCTGCTGCCCTCTGCCTGCCCCGCTACTCCTTCCGGCGCCTGGACACACGGGATGTTGACCACAATGTCTCTCCCGGCTACAACTTCAGGTGGGTGGAGCCAGGCCTCTAGCAGGAGTGGAGGGAGATGGTGCCTGATGATTCCCCGAGAGCAGCGGCAGAGAGGCCGGGTGTAAGGAGAGTGGCATGCAGGGCTGGCTCTGGTGCCTGTGTCTTCACCCTTCCTGCTGCAAGAAAGGTGTTGAGCTGGGTACAGTGCTGCTGACCTGTTATTCCAGCAGTCAGGAGGCTGAGGCAGGAAGATCTCTGTGAGTTCAAGGCTAGCCTGAGCTGCATAGCAAGACCTTGTCTCAAAAAAAACCCAACCGGGCTGGTGAGATGGCTCAGTGGTCTAAAGCACCTACTTAGAACAAGCTTGGCAAAGCACAGGGACTGCGGTTCAATCC